ATCCTTAATTATTAGTTTAAAAAGACACCCCCTCATCTCCACACACCCCCTAAAAAAATAATTCAGTCTTCCATGTCTGAATGAAACCAGCAAACACGTGCTTTCCTGCGTTACTTACTACAGAGGCTCATCTGATTGATTCAAGAGGTTTCCTGAACTGCTGAGGTTTTGGCCTCTCAGCCCTAGCTTCCTGGATTTAAATCCCCTCTAACACCCCTTTATCTGGGTGTTCTTACACAAGAACTTCCTGATTTCCAGAGACCATGCCAAGAGAGGGAACATATCAAGCTAGGAGAGGGAAACACTCCAGTTTGAGGAGTGGGTCCATCAGAGTGTTGGTGGTGTAGTGGATTATATGTTGGGCTGCAAACCACATGATCAGCAGTTCGAATCCACCAGTTGCTTTGCGGGAGAAAGATGTTGTTTTCTATCCTGCAAACAGTTACCATTTGGAAGACACACAGGGGCAGTTCTATGCTGTCCTACGAGAGTTGCTATGAGTTGGAATCAGCTGATGGTCGTGAGAGTGAGCAGGTGACAACAGACAAGAGCTGGGATCTCCCAGCCTGGATGCACTCTGCTTCGGCGCAGCTCTCCTTTCAGACCGCAGCACTCACCACCGTCTCAGGAAAGCTTGTGAAAAAAGCCCATCATCTGAATGTCTACTGAGGTCAAGAAATTAGCATCATCCAGTGCTTCATATAGTAATGATATTTGTCTGAGGGCCACAGTTTGAAAACCAAAGTGGGTAGGAAGCAGTGCCCTGCCTATGGTTCAAAATTATGGCCCAAAAGGGAGAAGACAAATTCATTTTGAACTAGGTGAAATGGATTCAAGGTGAATTCACTTTTTATCAGTTCAGAAAAATAAAATAACAAAAAAAGGTCATATCAAAAGATCAAAAGGTCAGGCATAATGGCCATGGAAACATAGCACTTGGTGGTATTCAAGAAAACATGGAGGCTTTCTTCCAATAAAGTTTCTTCCAGAAGAAGGCAGAATGCAAGGAGTAGAAACAGATTCCCTGTGAGCACAGTCCATGATACTTTCAATATTCTTCTTAGTGAATTCAGTAAGACTTCAAAATCGAGATTAAACAATCAGATAAAAAGGAAACTCCAGAGCTAAGAAAACATATTGGAAAATAGTATATACCACTGAAAATCTAACGCAAAAAAAAGAGAAACAGAAAAAATCACAGTTAAAAACCGAATTGAATCCATGAATTATGAAAAATAGTTAAATAATTTTAGTAAATAGAGAATAAAAAGTTGAGCTTATTAAAGCACAGTATTAATTTGAAAGACAGATAAAGTAATCTAACAAAAGAATAATTGGTATGCCTGGAACAGTGGAACAGGAAAAGAAAATTTCTGGGTGATAACAGAAACATATCCTTCAGTTGAAGAAAAAGCTGAATTTATGGGTGGAAATGAAATATCCAACTGAAAAACATATCAAAATGAGCATCAAGATCTCCTACTAAGTTGTTATATCTCAGGGATAAAATTAGTTATTCCAGTATGTAAGAAGAAGAAAAAAATCACATACAAGAGATAACAAATAATCAACCTAGTCTCACACGCACCCTAGCATCCCTGAAGATCACTTAGAAAAGTCTGCAAACTTCAGAGGGCAAGAGAAAGTGGCCCAACAATGCCCTATCACAGGGGTGTTATTCCAGTTAAAGGCAACTGGTGGATACCCTCAAAAGTGAAAAGGCCCAGGAAATATACTCTCAGGAACCTCTCTCGAGCAAAATAAAACAAAACAAAACAAAAAAAACCACTGTGGTGAAAGCACTAATACTGGAACCAAATGGAAATAGAACTAGGACTAGATTCCCAGGGAAATTATCGCTGCGCAGCAGAAGGAGGACATCATAACTTGCCAGATTAAGGTGATATGAGCAACAAAACTGAAAAATATTGAAAGAAATAAGTGGAAGCTTATTCTGTAATTTTTCCTAGCAAGTGACAATGTTTAAAATTGATGTAGGTAAATGTTCACAATGATCCCAACTTCATAACACTTTCATCTTCCCCCCAACCTGTAGAAAAGTCTTTTAAGAACACATATCTTTAATGTTGAAAAAATACAAACCTGAATTCAACAATTGCAGTTTTATTTGCTTATTTTTCTTCTGTTCAATTCAAGTAAAATTAAGTTTCACAGATTTATTTTTAAAGCATAAATATTCTGCTCTGTTTTAGTTTCATGTTTATAATATTCATTCTTACATCTATGCATCTTGTAGATATACTCATGCATTATTAATTTAGTTATTAATGATAATCCTTAATGTATTTCATTATTAATAGTAAATAAACTATGGTACACATGCAACAAGGGAATACTATACATCACTGAAGACTCATGAGGAAACTGTGAAACACTTCATGACATACAAGGACTTCAAGGACATTATGCTACCGGAAGTTAATCAATCATGAAAGACAAATATTGGGGCAGAAAATGTAAGATAAAGGTTTTCACACCAAAAGAAATAGGCTTAGATGGTTACCAGGAGTGCAAGGGAAAGAGACAGAAGAGGAAACGAGTAACAGAGTAGATGCTTGTTAACTTGGTGAAGGGAATGAGAATGTCCTGCAAGAGAGAGAAGAGAGAGGTGGGAAAAGTGGGGGGACACAGGGTGAGCTTAATTCAGAGTTCAAAAACTGATTTAAATTGTTGAATGCAAAAACAATGCTTTGAAAAATAAATTCCTGGGGGAGGGAATACTACACTTGGTCTTAGCCAAAAGGCCACGAAGCGATAGGAGGAGGGAATAAAGAGGAGCTGATATCAAGGGGCTCACGTAAAAAGGAAATGTTTGGAAAAGGATGATGGCAACATCTGTACAAGCTTGCCTGATGTAATTGATTTACAGATGGTTATAATATCTGTAAGAGCCTCCAATTAAACGATCAATAAAAAAAGAAATAAATTCCCAATAAAAAGTTAAAAAACAGAGAAAGAGAGGTTTATAGGGACGCTCTTCAAATATTCTCAGGGGTCATGTCTCAGAAATGGAATATATTGCTTATATTTTAAATGATGAGCATGACTCACTTGTAAAAGAAAATTCATAACATATCATGCCCTTTTTCTGACGTAGTAACTATGTATAAGTGAATCTTCTTCAATAATCAGACATCCTGAAGTGCCGGTGGATGAGGCATCATTTTGAAAGCCCATCCTCACGATGAAGTATACTAGAAGGAATTGTTATGTGTGACTGAGTGGAATGGATCCAAGGAAACAATTCTGGGAGAAGTTGTATTTCATATTCTTAAATCAAACTGTAGCTTCAACTTCTTTAATGAGCAGTACCTAACATTCCTTAAAGGAGTCCCTTTTGCCAAGTGAGCTAAGCCATAGGTTACTAAACACATACTAAGCATTTCAAACTTCTTAGCCACATCACAGGAGAAAGATGAAGCTAACTGCTTCCTTACAGATGTATCACTGAATCCTTGTGGGGCAGTTCTAGTCTGTCCTGGAGGGTGACCATGAATTGGTATCCATTGGGTGGCAGGAGGTATGGTTTGGGTTTTAAAATTCCTTGAGCACCTACTATGTACCAGGAAATATGCTAATGTACTTTACTATTTAATGCTCGCAATGACCCTAAGGGATAATAATAATGATGATGATCAGAGCAATGACAGCTCACATTTAGTCAGTGCCTTCTATTTGCCGGGAAAATGATTTTCATGAACTAGGATTCTTCAGTGGGAAGTCCTCCTCACAATGGGAGTCTATTATGTGGTAGAAGAGAAAGCAATGAAAGTTTTCTTTTAAAAGGAAAGGGTTAATAGTAGTATATTTAGAGAAATTGTGTGGGTTAGCCTGACCTGGAATTGAAAGATAGCACAAAGAAAAAGCTGGCAGAATTCTTGGGCATGGAAATATTAACAACATTTTGAGCACAGAAGTAAGGGGAAGTAAGACCACACTAGATCTCTGAAGAAGCGGATACAATAATTTTCATTAAATTCTGATTGTCCTGGAAACAGGACTGTAAACATTATAATTAGATAAGGTCATATGCAAGTACAGTAAATCACAATTATATTTGAATCACATATAAACTCCAACCCCATGTTGGAAGAAAATCTGGAATGGTTTGCGATGTATTTTTGTCAGCATAATCAATAATCGAAAGGGGAGAATTTTGTTTCAGAATGAAAGGATTGGGTGCACATGGCATGCTCACACAGATTCACACTCTGAACATGGCTCTCCTGGCAGCTCCAACCAAGACCGTGTAGCTAGAGAAGTCTGTGGTTACATGTGTCTCCTTCTGTTCATAGATTCCCTTCTCTGTAGGAATACCATGAAGTGAGAAACAAGGAGATGTGTGCTTCTGGTGCCCTGTGTGATTCTCCACACAACTGAAGATCCCTGCTTGCTCTCCCCACCCCCGTACCCCCTAACTTCCGGCTTCTAAAGCGGCCTGCATATGAGCAGAGTGGAAGTACACCAAGAATGAGCAGGGCCATTCACCCCTCACAGCAACAGCATGGATTGGATTATACTATTATCTGCTCCAGTTCTCAGATTTCACATTTTACAGGAAAGGGCAGCAGGGAGATGGAAAGGAGCCAGTCCCAGGTCAATTGGAAACAAGAGCCTTGGGAGTTCATGTAGACACCCCTCTGATTCCTTGTGATTGTCCCTCCACTCTAAAACATTCTAGCTAGTTTGTTTGTTTCCCCCTATTTTAGGATTTCCATCCTTGTATGTGTGCCATTGTCCATGCTAATTTTTTCCATACCACACACACAGAGTAAAGAAGAAAGGATGATCATTTTTCCCAATAATAATCCTCATGAATTGAAAGTTCAGGCTACAGCTTTATATGGCTTGGCTTGGCTTGGTTTGGGTCTAGGAAGCTGGCTTGGTAAATTACAGGTGTGATTCCTTGAAACCACAGTGATGAAAGTGATTTGAAATCATACTATTGACAGTTATAATAGAAACAAATGTCTACTTACCACTCACGCCTCAGCTCTGGTGAGAACAAATCAATACCGTAAAATGCTTTCAGCTTTCCAGAGAAAGGGTCTACCTGAAAAATACCAGGAGATCGAATATTCACATTGCTTAGGACCCAGAAGTGTGTGGATTAGGACATTTTTCAGGAGGTAATAGGAGCAGACAACAGTATAGAACACATGAGCTCCCTGTCCTTAGGTTTTCATTTATTCATTTCATCCTTCCTTTCATTTGTTAAGTAACTCTTATCTTTATTGCCTTGTCCCTGTGGTGTGTGTTTGGACTATAGCAGTAAAAGACAAGGTCTCTGTATGAAGGAACAGTCCAGTAGTGGAAGCAAACAACTATGATAATGCACTAGTTTGATCTATGCAACTATGTAATAGGTATGCATAGACTACTAAGGCAGGACAATGAAGGTGCATAACCTAGTTTTGTCCATGGGAATTGCAATGACCTGAAACAGGGTCTTAAAACTGACTGTCATAGGAGATGGATGAAGAGGAGAGAGAAAAGTGATAAAGAATACCCAAACTTGGAACATATTAATTTTCAATATGGCATCTATTTGGACACTGTGATACTTAGGTTTATTGTGCCAATGTGGCCAAAAGGAAGATGTGGGTGGTGATTAATCAGGTCAGTTTATTTGGAGGACAAAGAGATAAATGGCTCTGCAAGGCCCATCCCCTTCTCTCTTGCTCTCTGGTGATTGGACCAGCATGCTGCTGCTTTAGCTAGTTCTCTGTCTTAACCTGTGTGTTACCCTACCTGTAGGTCAAGCCAACCCATGGATCCTGTTGCTAGAGCTTGAGGCTCCTTCGAAACCTGCTTCCCTACACTGTTGATTCATACATTGCTTGAGCTTGAGGTTGGTGGATCCCGTCGCTTTGCATTGTTTGAGTTTGATATTCCCATCCGGGTCTGCTTAGCTAAGCTCCCATGCTACTGACTGTTGCTGACTGTGGCTGGCCCACTCTGCTACCTGCTGCCTGTGGTATGAGGGAAGACTCCGCTGCCTGCTTCCTTGACCTGGGACCAAAGCTTCCTCTATGAGATGAAAGATTTTCAATATATTAACTATTCCACAAAGTGAGTTGAACTGAGCCCTCTGTACTGCTGTGTGGACTAATTATCTGTTATATTCCTTCTTGAAATATAAACCTATATATATTTATCATAATAAGTGTCCTGGTTTTGTTTCTCTAGAGCAGCAGTTTTAAACCTATGAGTAGCAACCCCTTTGGGGGTCAAATGACCCTTTCACAGCGGTCACCTAAGACCATTGGAAAACACAGTCTATCAGAATACGCATATTCTAAGTACCCAGCTTGAAGATTGTAACCCATGCTACACCATGCTTCAAGACAAAATTTCATGTATTTGTAATTAGAAATACCTATTTCACAGTATATAATTATATATTGTTTTTGTGATGAATGACTATGCTTTAATTATGTTCAATTTGTAACAAGGAAAATACATCCTGCATATCAGATATTTGCATTGCGATTCATAACAGTAGCAAAATTAAAGTGATGAAGTAGCAGCGGAAATGATTTGATGGTTGGGGGTCACCACAACATGAGGAACTATATTAAAGGGTCGCGGCATTAGGAAGGTCGAGAACCACTGCTCTAAAGAACCCTAACCTAACACAGTCGCTGCGCCACAGGCAAACCAATCCTACACACCTGACACTGCCATCGAGTCAATTTCACCTGAAAGCAGCCCTCCTATAGGACAGAGTAGAACTGCTCCCTAGGGATAAAGGCTGTAAGTCTTGATGGAGAACAGTGACCAGTAGGTTTAATAGTCCAACACTGAATCCATAGTTCCACCAGGACTCTTAATAAGAGAGAAACATGTTATTATACAAGTCTACCTTTAAACAAAAACCAAACTCACCGCATTGAGTCAATGCTGACCCATCGTGACCCAACAGGACATGGTAGACCTGCCTCTGTAGGTTTCTGAAAATACTTCTTCATTGGAATAGAAACCTTCATCTTTGTCCCATGGAGCAGCTGATGGTTTCAAACTGCTGACATTTTGGTTAGCAGCCCAATGTGGAACCACTATACCACCAGGGCTCCCTATAAGTCTTTAAAACAGGCCAAATTCTAATTTCTTAGGGATAATATTATTTTCCACAAGTGTGTATTGGACCCAGAACAGACCAATATATTTTTTCCACTCATTTTACTGCCCAGAGAATAATCCTTCTTTAAAAATGTACCAAAGCCAGCTCCTGAAGTTAGCATCAGATATTTAATTTTCAGCCACTCATTCCTGATTTCTGGTTGGTAGTAGCAAATCAGTTTCATTTGGGGCATTTTTTCTCCTATTGTAAGTAGTTGTATTAAAAACACCCCTCACTGCCCTCAATTGTATCTGGACTCAGAGGAACCCTGTAGGACTGGGTAGAACTGCCCCTTTGAATTACTGAGACCTTAAATCTTTTATAAGAGTAGACAGCCTCATCTTTTAACCACCGAGAAGTTGAAGGATTCAAACCACTGACCTTGTAGTAAGCAACACAGTATGTGGTCCGTTGTGGCAAGAAGATTCCAAATAAACAGTCGTAGCTGATAGTACATTGGGTGCCCAGCCCTTCTCCTAGAGTGCTGGTGGTGCAGTGGGCTGCTGAGTGCAAAGTCAATAGTCCGGAACCAGCAGCTGCTCTGCCGTAGAAAAGATGAGTTTTCTACTCTCCTAACCAGTCATGGTCTCGAAACCCACAGGAGCAGGTTTACTTTGTCCTCGAGGTTTGCAGTGAGCTTGTTTGGGGTTCCCCTTTCCACTATAAAATTTAAATAGGTCCCTGGAGGCTGTAGCTGGTTTCTCCAGCCCACACTCTCTATGGGCAAAGAATGAGCATGAGACATAAAATCAACCAACTGAACCTTCTCTTGAAGAGAAAAGAACCCTTCGTGAAGTGACGTGTTCCTCACGTGGTCATCCTTTACTGCAATGGCTCCTCAGTAGAAAAGCAGACTCTAGCTTGATTCTTTTCCTGTTCCTCTCTGGCCTTCTTGAATGTGTTCATGCCTTGAAAGGCTCCTACAAATGCATTTTTTTCCCCCCAGTTAGCCTGAGTTGGCCTCTGTTGCTTGTTTCCCAAAGAGCCCTAACTCTACTTGAACCCTCCCATCAATATTTTGTGCAAATGCTCAGATGATTGGCGGATATCTACATTTGCTACAAAGTTATTAAGTTAAGCTAAATCTGCACCCCTCTTACTAGAGTCTGACATCAGTAATTAGATGGAACAAAACACACCACGTATTCCATATGGCAGGCAGTTTAGTCCCTGATAAGAGTAAACAATTACGTGTAGCCATGCTTCCATCCTCCAGGTTGGAAACCACCCGTCTTATCTTCAAACACGATTCATATACTCACAGATTGTGGAAATAACAGGTTTGGATTATTGAAGGTTATTTTAACCATTGGTTCCAGGGATGTAAGAAGTCATTTCGTTAGGGAGTCCCTTTGGGATTTCATGCATATTATCTGAAAAGGTTGTTCAATGTTTAGATTCATTTTTTTTAGGGTGCAGGAAGAAAGCCCTTTTATAAAGTATCTCCTATAGCTCTTTCTATTCTTCTCAAGTCTGCCCCCAATTAAATGTTTATTATCTTCTTTACTGAATTTGGGAGAATTGGTGGCTATTTTCAGAGAAGCTCATTAGGATGATAGAGATTGATTATTTTTAATTGAGGTAGCGGAGGTGTTGAGCATTCATCGGGCTTTGAGTAAATGTTGCTAGGATAGCAATTTCCCAACCACTTACGTGAGAAACATCACGTCTTCAGCATTTGCAAACAATCCAAAGTCACTTCTCCCTTTCATTTTTCCCCTTTTCCTAGTATCGCGTCTGGCAACAGATGTGTGCTTCTACAGTCACTTCAATAATTTAGAAACCATTTGTGTATAAACACACATACATATATTATTCATTCTTGAGTAGGAGTTGGAAACCAGGGACAAAGAAAAGATGGAAAGAGAAGAGTGCACACTTCGTTCTGTACCTCCTTGTCCAACATTAAGCAGCCGATTTACCTCCACTGAAGGTTACCCTTTCTCTTGCTCTTACATCCCTTCAAATTCCTTGGACGCGTTTGTTCTTATTTGTTCTTAGTTGCCACTGATTCATGCCAATAACTTTAATAAAATAATCAGACCAGGTTTTCATCGGCTAGCTTTTTTCTTTTGGAATTAGATTATCAACCCTTCCTTTCTTGTCTATTTTAGTTTAAAAATCCCACTGAAATGATTGAGCATCAAAGTAATACCCTATCGACTCTCTCACTGTCTCACTCACTCACTGCCTCACTCACTCACTGTCTCACTCTCTCACTGTCTCACTCTCTCACTGTCTCACTCACTCACTGCCTCACTCACTCACTGACTCACTCTCTCACTGTCTCACTCTCTCACTGCCTCACTCACTCACTGTCTCACTCTCTCACTGTCTCACTCTCTTACTGTCTCACTGACTCACTCTCTCACTGTCTCACTATCTCACTGTCTCACTCTCTCACTGT